CTGTTATTCATGAACTGTCATCCTGATCCATAAGATGTTGATCTCAATGTGCATAATTTAAACTCTGCTTCACATACCACTTGGGGGCTTTAAAGGTACAATATGTAGAATGTTTACACTAAAATATCTAAATTAATTTAAATTGACTAGACCTGTCATGTTTTTTTTTAACTTTAATATGATACTAGTAAAAATTAAGAGATATAGTTACCTGAAAAAGAATCATAGGCACCCATATTGTGTTATTTCTTGTTTTTAAATGTTGACAGGAAAGAAACTAATGGTACAGTGGTGTTATTTAAAAAAATGGTTTTCAGCTATTGACCACAAGGAGGCAATAATGTGCCGTAAAACACTTTCCTCAACACAGGCTTCAACAATACAGTTTTCTGATTTGACTTAAGATGAACAACAGCATTTTCCTCTCGTCATGTATCAAAACTCTCCCAACATCAGCCTTAAAAAGTCATTAAAAGCCAACTAAATTAAGCCCTAATATGAGTTTTGGCCAAAAGAAATACCAATACTGACTTGCTTCAACAAATGTCAATGCATTTAATCTGTTCAAACAATGATGCAATTGGGTATGCTGGCATTGAAATTTGTAATCACATATATGAGCTTTCATTTTTTGGTAGAAGCAGTTTTTTTAACTGTTGGAATGTCGATACAAAGTCTGATATTTATGGGTATACATTAAATGTATATTTCCTCATTTAGGAAGCACAAAGGTGTATGGTATTGAAAATGACATTTCATCCTCTTTTTGCCATAACTTTGTTTTTTTAATGTTATTCTTCTGCTTGCTGCCCAGAAAGAAAAGACCCTTTAGTCGTTCTTCAGGAATAAGACATTTAAATTGTATTACTACGTTTATAAAAAGTTGTTTTCCTATCTTTGAAATTGAACATGTTTTTCAATGTCTGTAAGTGGCTTTGATTATAACAAGATAAGCAATGACAGGGATGACAAGTGTACAATGAGTCGTCTTAAACGTACAATATGTAGAATTGTATGACAATGTTGACACTAAAATATCTAAATTTATTAAAAAATTGACTAAACCCATGTTAAATATATGGTAACACTTTATATTAGGTGCTTGTAATAAGCTGTAATTAATAGGTGATAAGTCACTTATAAGACGTTATTATATAGAGACCTTATTAGATTCATATTAACACAAATAAGACTATATAAGTGTTAATATAGGCATAATTAAAACCTTTATTATGTCTTATAAGACACTTATAGGCTCTTATTAGAAACTTATTAATAGTTTATATACCGCCATAAACATTAATAAGATGTTTATTAACACAAATAATGTCATGATTTGGTCATTTTTTGTTTTGTTTTTCAGTGTTTCTTTATGTTCTAGTGTGTTTTGTTCATTCTTGAGTTCTGTGTGTCTTCAGTGTTTAATGTATTTATTTTGTAGTTGTCCTCAGTGTTTCTTGTCTTGTGTTCATTCCTTCCTCTGTGTGTTTCCTTCCATTGTGATTGCCCTCATTGTCTTCACCTGTGTTTGATTACCCCTGTGTCTAGTTAGTCTCTGTGTTTCTTCCCTTCTGTGTCAGTTCATTGTATGTGTTTGTTGGTGTCGGTTGTCGTGTGTCAGTTTACCTGTGGCTCCTTGTTTTTCTCGTGTTTGGATTTTGGAAGTAAGTTTTTGTTTGTCTTTTTTGAAGAATAAATAGTTTCTGTTGATTCTGCATCTGGTTCCTCCTCTTGGTTTTCTCGATCCGTAACAAATAAGTCTATATAAGTGTTAATAGAGGCATAATTAAAACCTTTATTATGTCTTATAAGAAACTTAAAGGCTCTTATTAGAAACTTATCAACAGTTTATATACCGCCATAAACATTAATAAGATGTTTATTAACATTTATAAGACTTTATAAGGAAATATAAATCCTTATAACAAATACTTTATTATGCACTTATTAAGAGCTAATAAAGCTCCTCTGCAGTTACTGGATCTAAAGTGGGAACACTACTTATAAAGATTAATAAATACTTTATTATGCACTTATTAAGAGTTAAGGGTTAGGGTTTAATCTTTATGAGTAGTGTTCCCACTTTAGATCCAGTACCTGCAGAGGAGCTTTATTAACTCTTAATAAGTGCATAATTAAGTATTAATTAATCTTTATAAGGATTTATAGTTCCTTATAAAGTCTTATAAATGTTAATAAACATCTTATTAATGTTTATGGCGGTATATAAACTGTTAATAAGTTTCTAACAAGAGCCTGTAAGTGTCTTATAAGACATAAAGGTTTTAATTATGTCTCTATTAACACTAATATAGCCTTATTTGTGTTAATAAGAATCTAATAAGGTCTTATAACGTCTAATAAGTGACTTACTACCTATTAATTACAGCTTATTACAAGCACCTTAATATAAAGTGTTACCAAATATATATTTTTTTGTTGGGTACTTACCTCAAATATTTCCAACAGTAATCAAAGCCAGAGAAATCTGTAATTTTATAGTTGTAACGCAGGGATGGGCAACTTTGGTCACAGCAAGGGCCACATTCATTTAATTCTCACTGCCAGAGGGCCACATTGTAGGATACAAAAACGATTACAGTCAATTATGTCTCAAATTTAACTCAACATATACCAGTGATCAAATATTTTGATGGACATATTTCTGTTTTTCATGGCAGATTTTGGAATGTTTTCTTCTTGTTTCCAATTAATTGATATTTAAAAATTGACCTGAGGGCCACGTTGAGGGTTGATGGGGGCTGCATGTGGCCCCGAGGCCGCCAGTTGCCCACCCCTGTTGTAACAGGACGTGTTTTGTCGAGGCGGCCACCATGATGAGCCGCCATGACAGAGAATGTTTATCGTTACCGTGGAAACACTGGATGTTACGTCAAAGCCCGCTACATGAGGAAGCAGGTATTCCTCCTGAAAGCCGTCGTGCTGTTGCTGTATTTGCTGTTTTGATAAAAACGTCATGTATTGGGGGGTAAAAGATGCAAGCTAAATCTCCCATGATTCCCCGCCAGCCTCGACATCATCTTTTGTTATTGAAGTATTGATTGACAGCTCCCTGGCGGCTGAATCTACATAGTGTATTTTTAAGAATCATGTATTATTGGTCATTTAGACATGGACACTTTCTTCTGGTGTCCCCTTACTAGGATTTTGATTGTTCAGATTTATTTTATCGCAACATTTAGTCTAGTGACAGGGATGCCGCATCCCTTTATTGGCCAACGTCCATTTTCATGAGATTACTTATCACTTACATAACCAACTCACCCGTTTACAGCGTCAACAAGGCCTTGTCGCTTCAGCTTCAGGAAGAAAAAGTCCCTCTTTGAGCAGAAGGAGGAACTGAGGAAGAAAGAGGGAGATGATGAGGAAGGTTTAACAAAGTGCAATGGGTGAGGACTCTGGGAGTGTGGTTTTCTGTATCAACTACTCACTCTCACATCATTAAATACTCCTCAGCGTACACTGTAGTGCAGTGGTTCTCAAACTATGGTATGCGTACCACCGGTGGTACGCATACCATAGTTTGATCTCCACAATATAAAAAAAACATGTTCAGCATAAAACGCCAATTTTTGTTTTGTTTTTTTGTCATACTCTTATATTATCTGTCTTGTATCTATTGGGTTGTATTTCAAATGTGTTTTCCCTCTAAATTAATCTAGTTTTTGCAACAAACAACTTTAATCTGCTCAATTTATGCTCAAACACAGACATAAACAATAACAGGAGAACACCTCGCGTTTTGAAAAGTTCCACTTGATATTCCGTTATAGTTCAAGACTGAAACAACAGCAAGCAGCTGTAGACCTACATTAACAGATATTCTGTTATTTATTGAAGTTCAGCACACAATCCGCAGCAAGCAGCTGTACATTAACATTTTTAGTTACACACTAGCTTCAGTTTTGATACACGCTCCCCCTCCCTCTATCTCTATCTCTCTCTCTGTAGCTCTGAAGCTGAGCTCAAAAGGCAGTTTTGCTATGTTGAACGCAGAGACTTATAATAAAGTGGCGTTGTTTGCACTGAGCCTGCAGAGTGCGCGCCTGCACTCTCACAAGCTCTCTCTCTCTCTCTCAGGCACGCAGCAATTTTATGAAAAAAAGAAAATTAAATGAGAACAGGTCGGAAATATACTTGGGCCCAGGTATCGTGTTTGTGTGGGAAACACTGGAGACTAAATATTTCCAAACAGGTTGTTGGTATAAATTTGTCATTTTTAATGTTCTGCATTTTTGTGTTTGCAAGTTCTAGCACTAGCCCTTAGTAGTCCTACAGTGTGGCTGCCAGCAGTCAATAATAAATAATATTCTTTTAATTAATTTGCCTCTTGCATGAAATGTGTGTTGAAATAGGCCTACAATGTATTTTAACATCTACCATAATGGTGGTACTTTTTTTATTTTTTATATTTTCGGCGGTGGTACGCAGTCTAAAAAGTTTGAGAACCAATGCGCTAAAGCCTGTCTTGAAACTTAGCTCATACTCAACCTTGAGGACTCAGGTTGAGGTAGGACTCTGACTTTTCTTTGGTGACTCAGACTTGAGTCTCTACCCGGACTTGGGGACTAGACTACAACACTGCTTTTTTGTAACTTGGAACTTATAGGCACATAAAGTGTTTAATTCATGTTGGCATATCAGAAATAAAAGCCATTTTTAAAAAATATATATTTTGAGCCATTTATGCACATGTGGCTGTTAAGAGTAACCAGCATCTAAATGTATGACCTCAAAGGTTAAACAGCTACTTCAATAAATACCGTGTGACATTATTGCTAAACAATACTACATGCACAGTATAATTTAGTATATGTGTGAAATATCAAACTAAAGACCTTTGGTTGGTGTACCGACAACCAGAAGAAGAGCTATATATGGCCGATTATAGACATTGGTTTATTGTTGTTGCCTACGTAGTTTGTGGGTAAGCACTTTTAAAAAAACTTCCTTGAATCATATGAGATCACAAGAAGACGAGAAGAGTTTTCACCAGCCCTCAGTCAAAAAAACGGTCAGTCTAAAATAACCTCAGCGTGAGACATCACACCTCTGTGAAGCGAGTATATCACAACATATGATTGAAATATTTTTTAGCTGAGATTGGTGAAAGAAAGCGGGTAGGTTTACTACATTTTTATTATTCAATTGTATGAAGAACTCTTAAATCTGAGGATGTTTATTTTTCCATTTCTAAAATAGTTCAAAAACTCAATGCAATAGACAAACTTCACTGTAACATTTCATTTTAGATTTGATGTGCAACTGTCTCAATAATTTGATAATTAAAAGTAGAATTTTAATTACATTAAATGTATATTATACAACAGAAAGAAAATGAAACACTTCTACGTGATCATCACAGCTCTGGCAGCAACAGCTCTGGCACAAGGTACACTACAGTTTTAAAATGTGTTACTGCTAAATCCACCAGATGCGTGTTCTGTCCGTCTCCGCTCCGCCACGGCAGCAGAGCTGATAGCTTTTTACTTTAGTCAATGTGTGTGCGTCTCAGCTCTGTCCCGGCTCCAGCAGTCCAGAGTCTTCTGCAAGGCTTCTATTTGTGCCGGATTAAGGCGCATCAATTTCAACACAATGACCTTATGTTTAATAAGGGTTTTTATACAGTTTTTCATGGCATACTGTATATCATATTATTTCACGCTGTTCTGCATGATACTGTAAATAAGGAGGTAACTCCTTGGTCTCAGGACTCCAACTGTCCGTCGGCGCTGCTCTGTGAGGCTCTCTGATAAAGCTGCCTGCGAGTGTCGACTGGCGAGGGAGCACAGAGCCGTACCCGAGTGGAGTAGACATGCAATGCACACGTATCTGGTGGCAGTTCTGTGTTAAAGTCTGTTATTCTGTAAAAAATGTTTTCATATTTGATCAAAGAGAAAAAAAAGTTTGCCATAGTAATGAATTTAGAAGTCTAGTTTAATAGTTAATCATTTAGCCATCAAGTTACTGGTTAAATTAAAGTATACAGTATGACTAAGGCAGCTATATACATCTAAAACATATTTGGATTCAATGACAAAATGCTTTAACCTTCTTGTTTTACAAAGTTTTGCAACTGAAGTAAGACACTATTGTTTAAGATTTTTGTTTGTTGATTTCAGGCTCTATTGAATGTAATTTCACTGAAGCTACTGGAACTCAGCAATGTTACGGAGCGGTGGGACAACTGCTGATTTTTCACCTGCCAAACACTGCAGATACAGATGTAAGGTTGAAGAAAGACAAGAAATATATGATTTTAAAATCATACAAAAATCTGATAGAGAGTCTACATGAGGAATACGTCAATCACAGCAATCAGACTGAACTTTACACCAAGGGAAGACTTGAATTGGGAAAAGCAACAAAGAAACACTCTGGAGACTACATGTTGCATGAATATACTATAAAAGGGACTTTAATAAGAAAAGTAAATGTGCACGTAGAAATTGAAGGTAAGTTAAATTGTATTTCAGTGTGTGACACTGATATGTCTTTATGTTATTGAAAGATCCTGTTCGACAGGAATCATTGTCCGTGTTAAAAATAAAGATGTAATGGTCACTTGCAGGAAAAAAGAGGCAAACGTTTTTTACTATACGTCTATATAGAGTATTGCTCTAGTGCAGGGATGTCAAACACACGGCCCGCAGGCCATGTCCAGCCCGACAGCAGGTTTTGGGAAGAAGGGGGAAATCTATTGAATGTATTGTATTTAGGATATTTTTTATAAATTAAATATTTGTAATACTTATTTTCCCCGAATTGTAATAAAAACCCATTTATAATTAGCAACGTAAAAGGGTAATATGATGATACAAAAATGAATTGAACGGGGCAATTAAACTTTATTCTCAGCGGGGAGTAACATAAAAAGAGGAGTGGCCGAGCGCATGAGCTGCTCCTGCGTTACGTTAATCAGGAAACAGTCTGAACAAAAAGAAGAGAGAGAAGAGAGGTGACAGAACGCAGGTTTTCAAGAGAGATCGGAGGAGCAGCATTTCTTTAGTTTTATTTGCTCACAATTTGCCAGAATTGTTTCAGAGCTAAGGGACTTAACCAAAGGTGCACAGCGGCACTGCGCGCGCATCCTGGCGGTCTTCAGTTCTGTCCACACTTCTCACCAGTGTCTCTTGTCTTGACTAATGTAAAACGAAAGTTTGGCTGATAATAACAACGCTTCCTTTCAGGAGTGAGCTACAATTAGCAGCTCGTCTGGATAAAAAAACACTCTTCTCCATCATACGTAACAACCAGACCGTCTCTCCACATAAAGACTAAGTGTAGGTTACGAACACCGGCGTTGATCCTCTGGCATCTTCAGACTTATTTTACCTCTGATTTTTGTAAAAACAGTAATGTAAAATTAATATTAACTGATTGTATTTACACAAGGTTCCTTTTTAGGTCACGTCATTGTTATCCAAAAACGATATAACACAGGCTGTCCGATCATACAGAGGTCCGCTGGTTAGTCGCGAAGAGCAGTGCTAAAATGCTTCCTTGAATTGCGCAAGGAGATAGCACAGATTCATGGTGCATAAAAAGTAGGGGACAGAGTTAGATTAAGATAGTATGGACACGTAGAAGAACGGACTGCCAGGGCTCATATTAATCTCTCTTCACTGTACTCTGTTTATTAATGCACTGATCCCAGGGCAAGTAAATCTGTATCAATGTTTCTTTAACCATGAACAGAAAAATTAAAAAAGAATCTAATAATCTCAAAGACATTTATACAAAACCTAAATATTGTTGTTTTCTTCTGTATTGTGGAACATTTAATTATTTCAATGTGCCAACATGCAGTTTGCAATGCCAGAGTTTACCCCTCTGCTTAATGTAATTTTACATTTTATGCGTTTGCATGCAGTTTTCTATACAAGTACCTTATTTTGTCTTTTTTTTCTAATCATTCAGCAGACAATATATCCATGTGTTGAGTTATAGTCATATCTGCAAAATTAGTCCGGCTCACTGGAAGTCTCATTTGCACAAATCTGGCCCCCCGACCCAATAGGACTTTGACACCCCTGCTCTAGTGTTTGAGCCAACCAGCACCCCATGTTCTTCAAACTTTTAATAAAGGTCTCTTTATTCTTTGATTTAATTTTAGCTTAAAGTACAATTTTATTTTACAAGTAAAAAACTTTTATTTTACTGTTATAGTTTGAGAAGGTAAAGAGAGAGACAGAGAATAATGACAGAGAGGTTAATAAATGTTTTACAATCAACCAAAGACCTCCACTTCTAAGGCCATTTGACTACCAGAAGACAAAAGGACATAAACATAATGTATGCATGTTATTAGCATGAGGATCCTGACGCAAAATTACATCAAAGACGTGTACATTCAACAACTGTAGGCAGTTAATATGCTGAGTTACTATGTTTGCATATATTATGATTTGTTATCTTCATCTGCCAGCATGACATTATATGTTTAAATATTTTTCCTAAACAAAAAGGTTTCAATTTGGTCAATTGATTTCTTTTTTTGGGGAAGGGTCCGAAACCTCTCCAAATCCAGGAATTCTTCTTCAGCCTATGATTAACCATTTCACAAAGTTTTCCATAATCTGGTTTACAGCACCACAACCAAAACTAAGTAGTTCTGGAGGTGACACTTTGTATATCACATCCATTAACTTACATTCCCTATTGTCTACATTTTGTTCTATTTCCTTTGGGATGAATCCTTATTTACTACAAAATGTAGTTACAAAATATTCATGAAACTTAAAAGATTTTTTCAGGAGTTAGTTTAACCATTAAAATAGGAATTTAAAAAAGCTATAGCTCCAAAAAGAACAAAGTTTAGGTTATTCTGCCCTGTACTTTGTACTGTAGGTACTTAACATGTTTCTTTTTGTTTGTCTTCCAGCTCCAGTGTCAAAGCCAGCTGTTTCTCAGATGTGTTCGTCAGAACAGATCAACATCAGCTGCTCCTCTGAGGGAGATGGAGTGGAGTTCCGTCTGACTTTAGACGGAAACTTACTCATGCAGACAAGAGACAACAGCCAGTTCCTGAACAGCAGTAGAGTTAACATACAATCTCTGACAGAGACTAGAACTACACAAGACGAACCCAGTCTTAAACACGTTACCATCAGCTTAAAGGGTCAGCTGGCTGGAAGCTTAATGTGTATTGTTTGGAACAATGTCAGCAAAGAAGAAACAGTTATTCAACTGAAAATCTGCACAGTGCCCAGTCTGCAAGGTACAGTGGTTAACTCTAAAACTACAATCCACATTTTGACTGTTTTTTAACTTTGTCTAATTAAAACCAATCAAATATAAAATTCTCGTAGTATAATATCAGTTCACTTTTTTTTTGACAACAACAAGTTTGAAGAACATAGGGTGCTGGTTTAGCTTATTTAGTAGAGCAGCCCCTGAGGCCACGGTCCTTGTAGCAGGATCAACAACCAATCCTGACAGTATTTTGCGCATTTCATGTCTGTAAAGCTATCCTCTCTAAGGGCACACTCACACTAGGCAATCGGTACTGTGAATAAGCACACTTCATCCGGCGGCTGTGGCTCAGTGGGTAGAGTCGTTGCCTCTTCACCGGAGAGGTCAAGGGTTTGATCCCCAGCAGAGCAACATCATACGGAAGTCCGCCGGTTAGTCGCGCAGAGCAACGCTAAAATGCTTCCTTGAATTGCGCAAGGAGATAGCACAGATTCATTGTGCATAAAAAGTAGGGGACAGAGTTAGATTAAGATAGTAAGGACATGCAACATGTCCGATGTGTCCTTGCAAGACACAAGACGCATTGCTCCCTCTGCTTTGGTGGCGGTGTATGAATGGAATAGTGTTGTACTTATTCTCTGATGTACATCGCTTTAGATAAAAGCATCTGCTAAGACTTGTGAATTGTAGAATCCCTTAAGTCAAAGGCAAAGGTGACCGGTACAGTGCCATGGTATCTTTATCTGGCTTTACAAATGACTTGTCAATGTTAATGCCATCATCTAATTTTGTTTGATATGTTTATATTTTTCAGGTCCTTTATTCCCTGTTGTGTCTATGGCTATTAAAGCAATCTTTTTGGCTGTCCTCCTGGGAAGTGTTTTAATCATTCTCCATAACATCCTAAAACCTGGCATTGAGGGTGAGTTAAAGAATTTTTTCTCATGTCCTTGTCTTTCTCAATAAGAAATACGGACATTGAGTAAGGTTATTAGGATTTAAATTAATGTGGTATTCTACATCAATTTGACAGAATGGAATTTTTTTTTTTTAGAATTCCTTTAAAAAAAACAAAAACCTTGAGAAGTAGAATGTCCTCTGAGGCAATTTACTAATCAAAAGTCCTCCTATTTCCCCTCTCTTTTTAGATGTTATAGAGAACCCAGAAGAGTTCATTACTACACCCATGTTGGAATAATACAAAAAAAAGGACAACTGAACCCAACCCCAAGATTTCTACATCCAGTGTATCCCACAGAATGACGTGATTCTGCTCTCATAGATTTGCTGCGTCTTATCTCTCCGCAGGAGTCGAGAGGGAATCTTTTTTTTAAACAGGAGTTTTGTTATGTTGCATGGAGAGTTCAGGCACAGAAAAATGTCATCCGCTCAGTGATATCCTCGCGCCCGCCTGAACTCTTGCTTGCTTTCTCGTGCATGCTGCAATATTATGAATGAATAAAAAATAGATAAAAACAGGGCTGAAATATACTAGGGCAGGCCCACCCAGGTATCTTCTATGTGTGGTAAACATTTTAATCTTCTCCTAAAAAAGGATCAAGTATCAGCCCAATAATTGACCATGTCTGTAATCTGTGATCATGTAGTTCAGTTAATACTTTGTATTCTTTTTTTAAATTGTGCTTCTTTGATTCATTTTGGCATTTGGTTTCCTTATATAACCATATCTTTGATTGTATTCTTGTAAATTTGTGTTATCATAAGCAATTTATGAAACATATATCAAAATGTTCTCTGGTTTTTGTTTTTAAGTAAAAACACTGTATATTTCCTAAATTGATTATGTTGTCTTTTTCATATAAAGATCAAACAAAATTCAAAATGAGAAAAATAGGACAACCCTTAAGGTTACAATGTTTGTGATACCAGTTTGTTTTATTGAAATGGTAAATGCTCAATGTTGACTACTGTAGGAACACCAAGGACACTGAATAATTTTCTTAACAATTTCAAATGAGGCACTTCACACAGTGTATCAACCATGTCAGTCTCCCACAGTTAAATATGACTTAACCTGACAAAGTTTAGTGATGGGTTTAAGCAAAACATTGAAGAGAGATAGGAAGTGTTTTTTTTATCTCCTTGACAGTGAAAATAGTTAGTGTGAAAGTATGAGTCATACTTTCATAAGGCATATAAATGATGTGCTTATTTCCTCACTCAGCTACAGACATTACTATTTCTATTGTCTTCATAGTCCTGCTCTGAACTAATCTGTTATTTGAAACTGTAAAGGGCAACGTCTCCCATCACTGCATATTGTCAACATTACTTCAAAAATATTTTTCATATTAATAATTATTACCCACCAAAAGGAATAATTTGGAATGTTTTGGAAATGAACTTTCAGGGAAAGACTGTTTATATATCCACAGCAGGGGCCAACCATAGTTCACTGACAATCTGGCATTCTAAAAAGTTTAAATAAATAATTGCGCTTAGCAATAGAGCTAATGCTATAGGGAGGAACACAGGTTGTTAGTGCTGTTACAAAAGGTGCCTATAAAGTTGCTGAATAATCTTCAACACAGCCGAGTATGGTTTTAAGGTTCTTTAGTTAGATTTCTGGTTGCATAACATTAGCCTCATAGCCTCAGTTTTCTTCTTCGTTATTCCAACATATCTTTCAAACATGAACCAAGAGGGCCCCCCTTGTGGGCCAAACAGAACAGTACCAAATTACATCACTTGCATAAAACATAAACATTACAGTGTCCTTTTGCATATGAAATTGCTCTAAATGTTTCCATGTTGTAAAAGTTTTTGAAAATAATAAAGTTTATAATATATATACAACTTTGCTTGTGAGAATGGTTTGAGCTGCAGCGGTTACCTTGTTAAATATATTGATGGGTTTGAAATCAAACATTTTCCATACTGTGTGAGAACCAGGAAGTTGTTGTGTCTTCATGGGTCCTTTGTAGAAATAAGAATATAATATAATTAAATAAGTTATTAAACCAAAGCAGGTAATAAAGCTGAGATCTCTGGTGTTGAAGAATGAAGCTGACGCCTAAGTGCCAAACCCTGCAGCTTGTTGAGTGTCGACTTGAGGCTGACTGCAAAAGCTTGGTAGTCCCATAAACACCACAATTCAAATTAATGGCAGAAATTATCAAGTTTATAGACCGTTTCAAAAAAATGAAAAAGCGCGTAGCTGACCTGTAGACAGGCAGGCGCGATGTAGCCGTTGTCAAAAGGCTGAAAAACCCAGCTTGGCTCCAGCTCTTAGCCTGTAGTTAGGTTGACTGAAGGTTAGGTTGAGACAGCATTTCAAGCATGGCTAAGCCATCGATGGGACTCCAGTGACCCCTGCAGTAACAGATGGGTGACGCCACTCAGGCTTCGTCCATTGATATTTACAGTCCATGGTCACTATATATGGGTGTTGGAACCACTCAGATTTCATAAGAAAGACAAAAACATCCCTTGATCAATTGTGCCCATATCTACGCCTTTGTAAATTTTAATTCTGGAATGAAGTACAAGTATTACCAATGGTACATCAGATACTCCTATAAATTTGACCTCAGTTTTTTGCAGAGTTTAACAATATGTAGTTTGTGTAGTATTGAACAGCTTTGGAGGGACTCAAACTAGGGATGTAATCGTGAGGCAGTTACAAATCGATTCTAAGGTGTCAAGGTTCACACCGGTACTCTGAAAAATGAATCGCAGTAATATCGTGAGCGTCAGCAGCTGTAGAGCAGAGGCGGTTGGTTGTAACAAGCAGCCCTTATCATGGCAGCTGCGGAGGCCAAACCATACTAACAAGTGGGTTTTCAGCCCCGCTCGCCCAAACGAGTGCAAGAGCCAAAGAGATTACGAGGTGTATTGGTGTTTTAATGAAAAATTAAAGGTATCTTTTTCAGTCATCTCATAATTTTTCCTCAGTCTCATTTTGTTAAATAAATTGTGAGTAATCAGTATCATGAATCATATCGTGAACCCAGTATCGTGAATCGTATCGTGAACCCAGTATTGTGTATCGTATTGTGAGTTGAGTGAATCGTTGCATCCCTAACTCTAACTGTTAATCCCATTTATGTTCATAAGGCGAATAGAGTATAAGAAAGACCTCTTGTAGTTTGTAACCAGCACAGCTAAATGTATGAACTCAATGACTAAACAGCTACTTTAATAACTATCTTAACCACGTTTGAAAACACTTCCTTGAATCTTATCATACGACATTACAAGAAGACGACAAGAAGAGTTTTCACTAGCCCTCTGTCAAGTACCGGTCAGTCTAAAATAGCCTCAGAGTGAGATATCACACCACTGTGAAGCAAGTACATGACAACGTCTGATTGCAGGTAGGTTTACTACATTCTTATGTTTCTTTCCTGTTTCTAAAACAGTTAAAAAATTAAATGTACTAGATAACTTAACAAACGAACAACTTCAGTGTGCGTTTCATTTTAGATTCGATGTTTAACTGTAAAATAATGTGATGATTTAAAGTAGAATTTTAATTACGTTTCATTCATGTTGGACAACAGAAAGAAAATGAAATCCATCTACATGATCATCACAGCTCTGGCATCAACAGCTCTGGCAAAAGGTACACTGAAAAGTGTTATAGTCTTTGATTCTGGAAAAAGGTTTTCATATTTGATCTAAGATAAAGAAAGTTTACCAAAGTAATTAACACTTTTCAATTACAATTCTGAATTTCCTGAGGGAACCTTCCCAAGGGATTAATAAAATTCCTATCTATCTATCTAACACATTTTGAAATTTGCTTAAATATTTAAGTTGTAGTTTGGTCGATAAGGTCATGGTTATTCTAAAGTATACATACATTTAAGTTGACTAGGACAGCGTTATACGAAAGAAATATTCTGATATGACTAAATGTTTCAACGTTCTTGCTTTTAGGCTCTATTGAATGTAATTTCACTGAAGCTACTGGAACTCAGCAATGTTACGGAGCGGTGGGACAACTGCTGGTTTTTCACCTGCCAAACACTGCAGATACAGATGTAAGGTTGACGAAAGACAAGACACGTATTATTTTAAAATGTAAAAAAAATCAGATAGAGACGCCACAGGAGGAATATGGCAATCAGACTGAACTTTTCACCAAGGGAAGATTTGAATTGGGAAAAGCATTGAAGACACACTCCGGAGACTACATGTTGGAAGAATATAGTGGAAATGGGACTTTAATAAGGAAAGTAAATGTGCATGTAGAAATTGAAGGTAAGTTCAATCAGCGTCTGACACTGATATGTCTTTAAGTTATTAAAAGATCCTGTTTCACTGTGAATAAATGTACGTGTTAAAAAAATCAAGATCTAATGGTCATTGTCAAGAAAAAATATGCAAATAGTTTTGAACTATTATGCCTATAACAATTATTCCTGGACTTTATTATGGTTTGAGAAGGGAAAGAGAGACGGAGAATAATGACGGACAGGTAAAACATTTTTTATTTAGTTAGTTGACTCTTTATGGTTTCGGAACTCTTTAAATAACATCCAGTAGAGAGAATACAGAGAATAACATTTGAAGTTTGGAAATGAGAATGCTATGATTTACAGGATCAAATGCTTATTAAAGTCTAGTGAGACCTTTGTCCATACATAAATAACATTTCCAGAAGGTAACAATTAGAACTTTCTGTAGATGATTTATGGTCTGAACCCAAATTGTAATGGGTGCATAAAGTTATTTTTTTCCAGGTCGTGTGTTAATGTATTGTTACAGCCCTCTCCAAAAATGTTTCATAACAGGGAGGATGTTGATTGGCCGATAATTAACCCATTTGGTTTCTTGCTCCTGTCTTTATATAAAAAAATAGTTACAATCTATTTATGCAGCTTAAAAGATTTTTTTCAGGAGTTAGTTTAACAATTAAAATATGAATTTAAAAAAGCTATAGCTCCAAAAAGAACAAAGTTTAGGTTATTCTGCCCTGTACTTTGTACTGTAGTTACTTAACATGTTTCTTTGTGTTTGTCTTCCAGCTCCAGTGTCAAAGCCAGCTGTTTCTCAGACGTGTTCGTCAGAACAGATCAACATCGGCTGCTCCTCTGAGGGAGATGGAGTGGAGTTCCGTCTGACTTTAGACGGAAACTTACTCATGCAGACAAGAGACAACAGCCAGTTCCTGAACAGCAGTAGAGTTAACATACAATCTCTGACAGGGACTAGAACTACACAAGACGAACCCAGTCTTAAATATGTTACCATCAGCTTAAAGGGTCAGCTGGCTGGAAGCTTAACATGTATTGTTTGGAACAATGTCAGCAAAGAAGAAACAGTTATTCAACTGAAAATCTGCACAGTGCCCAGTCTGCAAGGTACAGTGGTTAACTCTAAAACTACAATCCACATTTTGACTGTTTTTTAACTTTGTCTAATTAAAACCAATCAAATATAAAATTCTTGTATTAAAACATTCAGTTATTAACTTTTTTAACAAGTTTGAAGAACATGGGGTGCTGGTTTAGTTCAGTTAGTAGAGCAGGTGTCCCTCAAACAATAGTTATATTTAATCACACATTCATCTTTTGCCTGCACTGGTATGAGATATTATATTTGATTCATTCCTTAAGGGTGGGGAGAAACTTCTGATACAGTGGTGAAATTTTGCTTTCAATGATAACTACATAACCACTTAAACTGCCATCATCTAATTTTGTTTGATCATTATTTTGATTTCTTAGTTCTTAAATTCATGTTCCCTGCTGTGGCTGTGGCTGTCATAGCAAGCTTTTTGGTTGTCCTCCTCGTGGCTCTGAGCTGTGGTTTTATCATTCTCCATAACATCCCGACACCCTCGGCTGTTAATGAGGGTGAGCCAAAGATTTTGTTTTCTCATGTCCTCATCTTTCTAAATAAGGACTGTTAAGTAAGGTTATCATTACTTGAATTAATGTTGTATTTGCTCTACATTAGTTTGATATCATGCCATGGGAATGATTTTGTAAAGACTTCCTTTAAAAAAAAGTTTAAAAAGTAGACATGATGTCCTCTGAGTTCATTTACTAATCAAAAGCCCTCCCATTTCTCCTCTCTCTTTAGATGTCACAGAGAACCCTGAAGAGGAAATTGTCTACACAGACGTAAGAATCGGACAAAACACAATGACAACATTTTAAAGGGAAATAATTTGTTGTTCATAAGAGGCCTCTCTGATTTTCTCTTTTTCAGATTATTGCTCTTAAAAAAGTGTTTTAAATTAAAAAGTGATTTAATTCAATCAATTCACACCGTATGTTAACTCTGACATAGGATGTACTGTTTATTAAAGACACAAATTATGCAGTAAGTCACTGTGCATAATGTTTAAGCCGACTACAGCATTCTTAAAACTGTCATAACCTCCGTTTATAAGTAGCAAAAACAAGTATGTGTCAGACAAGCCTTGTCCAAAATATTTAACCACTTCCTAAGCTCCACCACAGAACACAAGAAGACCATAAGCAGCATACTGTCAGTATAACTATCAATTGTAAGGTGAACTCACAATGAAGCCTTGAGTCATCAGTGTTTACTCTAGGATGGAGTTGTAGCAGCGGAGGTGAAGTGGAACAATACCTTAAGTGCGTGCAAATGAATGATTTACCTTCTATCAACAACACCCCATAGAGTAAAATCACATAACCAAATTAGTAAAATCCTAAAGATCTGTGCCTCAAATGCATCTTCTCAAGGCTTTCCACCAGATGCAAAGTAGCCAGCAAGCGGGTTTTCGTAGCCCCCTTTGGGAGTCCCGGCAGGAATTTTGGTCATTAAAGGCCAAATTTGGTGGCCTCTGGTATAATTTAATGCCACTGTCCCTCCAACTTATCTTAAATGTTCCATATGTGAATGACTTTGCATCCCTGATTGTAAACATGTAGCCTAGTGAATTATTGTAAAGGAGAACAAGGCTTCTTTTCTTTTTAACATCCTCAGCAACAGGGGTTTCACTTCAGAGTATGAGAGTTCTCAGTTGCACACTCGCAGGAGCCATGTATGAGCATATGGGGGGGGGGTCGGCTACCTGGTCAGAAATATTACTCAGATATACACGCCATCCCTTACGTTTACATCCTTTAGCAATTTGGTCAGTTTCTAACTTTGTGAGTTATTTAAAAAACAAAAAAAATAAAGGAGAAAAAAAGCCCCTTACCTCTACTCTCCACCTGTCTCCTCTCCTTTCATTTCCCCTTTCCTCTCTCTCTAAACAAAGTCAGCAGCGGTGGTCATATTATATTCCATAAAGCAAATTAATATAACGTTAGTTTCTAAAGAGATAAGATGGAGCCCTGTCCCCTCCTCTCTCATTTAATTTACTTTCTCCTCTCGTAAAAAAAAAGTGTAGGTCAAATTTCAGCAGTGATGCACCTCCGCTAATAGATGCATATAGCGGAAACAGTGGTCATATGAAGAACACTCATCACAGCTATAAATAAATCCTTCAGTTGCCGGTTTCTTTATAGAATAAGGGCTGCAGTAACTCTTGAAAGTTGCAACAGTTTCTGTTGGTGTTATTTTAGGCACATGGTGATGCACCTCATGTGATCATTTTGGAGGCTGCATATGAGAGACGATGTGCTTGCTTAATTTTTGTCTCGACTTCACAAGATTTACTTTGTGTGCAGTACTGTGAATATTTTTTGAAGAATCATATGGTGTCCTTAAGTAAAGAAAACAAAGCACTGTTTTAGTAGTGGGTATAAGATTTAGCAATGAGACTAGTCATTATTTGAGGGTCGGACCATGTAGGGTCAATATGCTTTGTAAAGTAGCTGATAGATTCTATACAGTGATGTTTTGTATAATAAATGTTTATCTCTGTTCATTTTATTCTTCTGTTGAGTTCCATTTGCCGAGCTTTGAAAAGTGTTGCTCGCTCATGACATCTAGTGGATCTATTCTGTTCTTGCAGGTGCTTACTAAATTACTAAAGTCTTTCTTATGTACACACAACAAGCAATGTAGAAATCTTGTCGACCACAAGATGGAGCCAACAGCCGTTGCTTCAGTAAATGATCGTGAAAATAAAATAAATCTATTTAACATTTGTTGCACAAGCTGTTATTCATGAACTGTCATCCTGATCCATAAGATGTTGATCTCAATGTGCATAATTTAAACTCTGCTTCACATACCACTTGGGGGCTTTAAAGGTACAATATGTAGAATGTTTACACTGAAATATCTAAATTAATTTAAATTGACTAGACCTGTCAATTTTTTGTTTTACTTTGATATGATACTAGTAAAAATTAAGGGATATAGTTACCTGAAAAAGAATCATAGGCACCCATATTGTGTTATTTCTTGTTTTTAAATGTGGACAGGAAATAAACTAATGGTACAATGGTGTTATTAAAAAAAATGGTTTTCAGCTATTGACCACAAGGAGGCAACAATGTGCCGTAAAACACTTTCCTCAACACAGGCTTCAACAATACACTTTTCTGATTTGACTTAAGATGAACAACAGCATTTTCCTGTGTCAATGTCAATGCATTTAATCTGTTCAAACAATGATGCAATTGGTTATACTGGCATTCAAGTTTGTAATCACATATGTATGTGCTTTCATTTTTTGGTCGAAGCAGTTTTTTTAACTGTTGGAATGTCGATACAAAGTCTGATATTTATGGGTATACATTAAATGTATATTTCCTCATTTAGGAAGCACAAAGGTGTATGGTATTGAAAATGACATTTCATCCTCTTTTTGCCATAACTTTGTTTTTTTAATGTTATTCTTCTGCTTGCTGCCCAGAAAGAAAAGACCCTTTAGTCGTTCTTCAGGAGTAAGACCTTTAAATTGTATTACTACGTTTACAAAAAGTTGTTTTCCTATCTTTGAAATTGAACATGTTTTTCAATGTCTGTAAGTGGCTTTGATTATAACAAGATAAGCAATGACAGGGATGACAAGTGTACAATGAGTCGTCTTAAACGTACAATATGTAGAATTGTATGACAATGTTGACACTAAAATATCTAAATTTATTAAAAAATTGACTGAACCTATGTTAAATATATATATTTTTTGTTGGGTACTTACATTACCTCAAATATTTCCAACAGTAATCAAAGCCAGAGAATCTGTAATTTTAAAGTTGTAACGGGACGTGTGTTGTCGAGGCGGCCACCATGATGAGCCGCCATGACAGAGAATGTTTATCGTTACCGTGGAAACACTGGATGTTACGTCAAAGCCCACTACATGAGGAAGCAGGTATTCCTCCTGAAAGCCGTTGTGCTGTTGCTGTATTTGCTGTTTTGATAAAAACGTCATGTATTGGGGGGTAAAAGATGCAAGCTAAATCTCCCATGATTCCCCGCCAGCCTCGACATCATCTTTTGTTATTGAAGTATTGATTGACAGCTCCCTGGCGGCTGAATCTACTTATTTTTAAGAATCATGTATTATTGGTCATTTTAGACATGGACACTTTCTTCTGGTGTCCCCTTACTAGGATTTTGATTGTTCAGATTTATTTTATCGCAACATTTAGTCTAGTGACAGGGATGCTGCATGCCTTTATTGGCCAACGTCCGTTTTCATGAGATTACTTATCACTTACATAACCAACTCACCCGTTTACAGCGTCAACAAGGCCTTGTCGCTTCAGCTTCAGGAAGAAAAAGTCCCTCTTTGAGCAGAAGGAGGAACTGAGGAAGAAAGAGGGAGATGATGAAGAAGGTTTAACAAAGTGCAATGGGTGAGGACTCTGGGAGTGTGGTTTTCTGTATCAACTACTCACTCTCACATCATTAAATACTCCTCAGCGTACACTGTATTGCAAACCACATCCTTCCCATGCACCACCAGAGAGCTCAAACAACTCCTCTGGATTGGCATTTTCTATTTAACATGGTCTCTATCAATGTTCTGTTTAATGTCTTACTATCCATTAAATTATGCACAGAATTTGACTGAGTGGGCTACCTTTTTGTAGAGTCATTCATGATGGATTTACATGAATCATTTATAAATACTGTTAATAAAAAGTACAAAGAAATGCTTCAATTAAAGGAAGAACGTGCAACTTTGAGCACCAGCATTAAACTAAAACAAGCAAACTGCTGTTTGGCGACACTCCGCTATTCTGAAGCCTCCTTTCTCTTCCAGCGGCACACCTCCAACCCCTCTCCACTCGAAGGAGTTATGAATTAGAACGCACCCTAATTAAGCACAATCAAGCGCAAGCGGAGGACAAAATTCTCCTTTGCTCGAGCTGCAATCGCCCATGGCCTGCTTTTTAGTGTTAGCTGGCTAATGTTAGCACACTTGGGTTACTCATGGCTTCATATTGCACAAAAACTGACATGGAATGATCGTGACCTAAAGACACTTATGTGACATCTAAATAAGAAGTGAAAAGGCTAGGTTATTCTTCTTTTCGCTAGTCCTTGACTAAAACAGATTTATAAGCAAGGCCATCCCGGCTATGTAAACAAGGTCCCGACAACAACACAGCCAGCGGGAATAACTCATAGTAGACAGTCATGACTCAGAGACAATTACAGAGGATACACTTGATTTCTGCTGTATTCATGTGTAAAAAAAATGTTGCTCATTCTAAAAATAAGTGAATATCATTATGATTAAATTATTTAATCAGTCTTCAAATAAAAAAATAGATTAGTGAACTGGGAATGGGATGATTAAATGCATATTTAAAAATGGACTAGTCGGCTTCAGAAAAGACTTTCAAAACAGTCAAAATAGGGCACAATTCATTTTCCCCTGCTTAGAACCGAGGGTCTCAGAGTCTGTGGGTAAAATATGTCAAATTAGTTTTTTAATGCGGCTAAGCTTAGCTTAGTATTGCTAGCACTGCAAGCCTGTTATCCTCCTGCAGATTTCTTAATTTCTGTCCCCATGTCTAAAATCAATTAACTAAAAGAGGCCAACCATACACCACATTTGACCGACATTGTGGGCCTGAATTGATACAAAATATTGATAAATAGTTTAACTGAGTACTTTTTTTCGGGTACTGACTGACCAGTGAGTTTGACAATGTTTAATCAATTAGTGGGCTGCTTGCGCACATCCCTAACATAAACAACATAAACCTGTAGACTTGGACTGGAGGACTGAACTATTTACTCTGCTGTCATATCTCCAAGGGGGATTTATGTTACCACATTCCTTAGGTAGCCATCTGTCTTTCCATTAGCACCACAACACAATAAATGCCAACTATAACCTACAGCCACAACACTGGAAACTGACTTAGGTCATATGGAATAACACTGTTGTGACTTTCCCCACTTTCTCTCCTTGCCAACTTCCCTCTTTCCCCTTCAGTGTTTTATAGAGTGACTGCAGGAGAAAGTAGGAGGGCTTCCCTATTCTCTGAAGCCCCTGCTTTCAGAACATGTGGCCTGGGAATAATTGGGTTACAACTGCAGCAGTCCAATGAGTTGGCCTTGATTTGGAGAATGACTCCATTTACTTTTGTCTGACTGCCTGCTGCTTCCACAGCTGCAGCTTTTATCCTCCATTCAGGCTCAGGATTTAACTGTACAGGTCTGGCAGGCGGCCAGATGAGAGAGTGGAACACAGTCTGAGCATTATACTAACCCACATTCAGTGGTTAAGACGAGAAAGGAGGAAGGCCTTTGCTTTCTTTTATTCTTGTATTCTTTAAATAAAAGACACCATAGGGAACGTTGTATTTGTTCACTTTGGCAGCTGTTGTGGACAAATACCATGTGTGTATACCACTGTACTGTATTTTAAATTATAAACAAAACAGAATAACATTTTCATTTTGGGGTCATCCTTATGTACCCTATGGTCATGTGTTCACTAACATTGCTATGGGAGGTAAGGGAAGCTGACTTTCCCTACAATGAAAGGGGGGACATATCTATGATCTATGACCTTTTGTCCTGGATTACCCACCGCAAAATCCTCTTCATATGAAAAATGAATCAGCGCTTTCACGTGATGTTATGTTTTCTTCAAATCATTTATGTTTTCCAGACTGTTCATATTGAAATGA